ATTGAACATGACTGCAAACATGTTGAAGTCATGGACATGTTGAGAATAAACAGCCAAAGAGAAAGCATTTCAAAAAGATCCCCACATGCAATACGGAGGCTGCACAGCCTTGACCAATCAGGAAGTTACCATGGAAATGAGAGTCAGAAAGTGTTACGACCAGAGCCCAGAGAGCTGATACCTCAGGAAGTATATGTGGGTCCTGAAATGAGAGGGGGTTGGAGTACGGACAGCCCAGTGTTTACACTAGACTCTCGCACCCGGCACACACTCAGCCACAGCCCACCCTCCCTTCCCTGACTTCCCCGTTGACATGAATAGTAATGAATTTCTCCAATGGTATAGTACCAAAGAAAGAGGTTAATAATTTGAAATGGACACATGGCTTTCTAATTAAAATGCTGATCAAACTGGAGGCTTGTTATGGAATCCTCAAAATTGCAAATGGCCATGAACTCTGCCTGAGAGCCAGCTGCCCCCAGGTTGGAAGAAGAGCACAGCTTCCCTTAGCACGCCCTTCCTGTCCCACACCACTGGAGCTTCATTCCTGTATTTCTATTTTCTGTGTGTTTTGTTTTGGATTACTTTACATGTACTCACCCCATCTTTATTTCTCTGATTCAGTATTAACCCTATCCGGGAACCACTTCAAGAGTTTACATTTGCTTTTATCATGTTTATTTCTCTACTGAGTTACCATCTGCTCCATCATTATAAACATGTTTCACTTAAAGTTCTTGAAGATCATTATAATACCTACTTTAAGGTAATTACTTGAACATCTTGGTCAACTCAAGGATTGTCAGTTGTTTTCTGTATATGGTTCATGTTTTTCTAGTAGCATTTATTGTTAGACATCATGAATGGATATACCATAAGCTCCTCTAAGAGAGGTGAATTGTGTTCTGGTAGACAGTCAGATCAAGGGACGATCTAAGGAAATGTAGTTTTACATTTTGTTAAGGGCTTAATGAGATGTTTTGTTAACATTTGATCTTAGTCCAGAGGCAAATGCCCTAGTCTTGTGATACAGTCCGGTGAGGGCAGGTGGGCTTCTGTGGCTGCAGAGAAGCTCATGGGGTGACTGCCAAGGCCCTCTCATGTGGCTTTCAAACTCAGTTTCTCTCAGGGGGGGAGGCAGATGAAACATCTGTGGGCTCTTTGTGCCTTCCAGAAGTATCTTGGCCTTACGCTTTTGAATTCTTATCTTTTATGGAGAGTGTGTCCGTCCATGTCCCGATCCCGGGCCCATAGTTCCTTGTGTTCTCTGGAACATTTATGTTTCATTTCCACTTGCACTGCTGGCCATAGTCTCTGTCCTCAGATGCCAGAACCAACAGGCTTGTGGCCTGAAGATGTCCGCTAGCAGCCATGCACTCTAGCAATCACAGAATTCACTCAGAGGAAAAGTCTGTTTAATGACTGAAATATTATTTCTTTCTTTCTTATTCTTTATTTCGGTAGCACTCTTGAACCATGCCCCAGCTGAGGACTCAAATCTTTTCTTTTCATTGAACATTAGCTTTATTGATGAATATATACCAAAAATGTAAAGTATAAATTCTGTCAATCAGAACTGTACCTATGTATTTTTAATTTTTTTATTAAGTAATTGCCCGAAGGGATTTTGCTTTCAGAAGCCAGGTGATGAGTACAATTCATCTTGATCAATAGCTCCCTTCCATCGCTCTCCCTACCATTCCCCACCTCATCCCTACCCTGAAGTTCTGTAATTCAGTTTTACATAAAGTACATTGAATATAATGACCACATCGTCTCCCTCCACACGAGGAACTCAAACCTTTAAGGCTTACAACCTCTTGAGTTTCTGGCTTGTTCTGATCACTGTCCAGTATCTGATAAGTTCTGGTTTTCAAAGAGCAATTTTTAGAAAAAAATATTTTGATGTCAGTCCTGGAATTTGAGCTCAGGATCTGGGTGCTGTCCCTGAGGGCTTTTGCTCAAGTGCTCTATCATCTGAGCCACAGCTCTACTTCCTAGAAATTTTTGTGTTTTTCTTATAAAGATTCATGAGCTATAGAAAGAGACCCTTCTCTTTAAATTTCCTTCCATAAAAATTCTCTAAAATACTGAGCCGTGTGCCAGTGGCTCACAGCTGTAATCCTAGCCACTCAGGAGGCTGAGATCTGAGGATCACGGTTCAAAGCCAGCCAAGGCAGGAAAGGCGGTGAGACTGTTATCTCTAATAAACCACCAGAAAACCAGAAGTGGTGCTATAGTTCAAGAGGTAGAGTGCTCACCTTGAGCTGAAGAGATGAGGGACAGCGCCCAGGCCCAGAGTTCAAGACCCATGACTGACAAAAAAAAAAAAAACTCTGCCTACATTTTACTTTAAAGAAGAAAGACAGTAGAGCTTCCTGATGATCTGATTATGGGGCTTGGGGGCAAGAGGTTACCCAAGGTTGTGGTAAAGTCTGAGGCCAATTAGTTGCAAGCCCCAGCAATGAGGAAACATAAAGCCTCGGTCAAAAGTTGGTTTTAAAAAACTGCAGTGCAACAGTGAGATGTACAAATGTTAAAAAACGAACTTTACAACTCTGGCGGGGAGGAGGGGGAGGATATGGGAAGCGATGGGAAGGGGAGGAAACAAAGGAGGAGGCAACAATGCTTGATAAGAAATGTATTCATTACCTTAACCATGTAATTGTAACCCCTCTGTATGGTATTTTCACACACACACACACACACACACACACACACACACACACACACACAAAACAACTCTGCAGTGAGCTGTGCATTGGGGGCTCATGCCTGTCATCCTATCCACTCAGGAGCTGAAATCTGAGGATCACAGTTCAAAGCCAGCCTGGGCAGGAAAATCTGTGAGATTCTTACTCCCAATAAAATACTAGGAAAAGTAGGAAGTAGCACTGTGGTACAAGTGGTAGAGCATTAGCCTTGAGCACAAAGAGGGTTAGGGACAGCGCCTAGGCCCTGAGTTCAAGCTCCAGGACTGGCCAAAAAAACAAAAAAAAAGAAAGAACAACAAAAAACCCTGCAGTAATTCATCTGACTCAGACTAAAAATTCACATGTGACTCCACAAGAATAAAATTCAGTGTATATATACAAATAAACACAGAGACAGAACATTAAGAACACCAGAATATCAAGAAAGACTATCGCTGCATGAATTTCAAGTATTTTGCTTTTTCAAAAGGATAATTATATTAGAATAAAATACATACTTACTAGGAAGAATTCTATGGTTCTTTTTTGAGGATTTGAGACACAGGGAACAAGAGCAACCCGGAGTGCATGTCAGTCAGGAATCTGGGCCCCCTTGGGGATCCCCGAGGCGCTGGGGCCCGTGCTTGAATGGACCCACTGGGCCCAGGGTGCCCTCCACTGCTAGGGTTTATAGAGCTGGCTCTCACAGTATCTTGCCTTGTATTTCATCTCTAAGAGCACATCCAACAGCAATTCTTTCTGGCATCAGAGGACCAATGGTAGGCATGTGAACACATTTATGAGCCCCAGCTCAGGTTGAGTCTAGAACCACCATCATCAAGACTCCACCACCATTTGGAGCAAGGCCCTTGTGCTGGACTCAACTGTAAATGCTTCCGCTCACATCACCCAAACCCTCACCCTACTTCCCACAGGAACAGGGAACAGGACTCATATGGGGGGATAGAAAATGGTCAAAGTTCCTTTGCCAATCATGTCGCTAGCCTTGGCCTGGTGTTTCCCAAACTAAGGAACTAATTGGCAGAATAATCATCACACCATTCATTTATTATGGCAGTGCCTTAGATGTACCTGGTGCAAAGATGAAAAGATGCTCTCCTCACCAGCAAGAGGCTACAGTCTAGTCTACAGTGTGGGAAAAAGCCTCTATTAGGAGAAGGCAATACAAACGAACACAGAAAAGACAGACAAACCAACATGGAGGGGACATAAAAGCCATCAGGGGAAAAACATGCATGTCGACAGGAAAGGGACATACAAGCCAACATGGAGGGGAGACACAGCACAACATAAAGGAGACAAGACAGTCAACGCTGATAGAACAGACAGGTCAACAGGGAACTGAAAGTCACATCAACTAGAAAATAATGGACAAGTCAACGTGGAGAGGATAGCCCAGTCAACATCAAGGGACAAGGACGAGCCAACATGAGGGAACAAATGTGCCAAAACAGAAGCCAAAGAGTTCCACAGATCCCCTCTAGAATACGGCTCAGGCCAGGAATGGGGCCTGGGGCGATGGCCAGAGTCCCTGCATCTTGGGAAGATTTGTCCCAAGAAGCTGGCTGCCTCTCTCTAGGGGCCTCTTGCGGTCTCCATCCTGGCCACTTCTCTCAACCACACATGCTCACACACCCTGACCTAATCCTGCTCAGAAGAAATTCCAAAGAGCCTAATTTCCAGGGCTCTTCCTGGTACATGGAAGTTTCCACACCCAGAGCCACAAGTGGTCAGGAAGTGGCCAGCTGGCACTGTTGTGCACTAGACAAGGGAAGAAAGAAGCCGTCTTGGTCACTCTCACGCCCACATAGTCACTCACATTTTCAAAGGCACTGTTAGGATGTCACCTTCAATGTACTACAGCCTGGAAACAAACCATTCTCAGAGACTGTACTTATAGAGAGATCTGTCCTCCTGAAGCCCAGTCCCCTTCTTCCTCAGCTTTCTAGCTCATCTGCCAGCTGTAGCTCAGACAAAGGCCCCTATGACCACAAACCCACGAGCCCTGCATTAAGGGAAGACAGAGCAGGGGGCTGTGGAAAGGGATACACTACGCTGGATGACATCTAGTATTCACTTAGCCCTTGAGTTCAGTCTCTGGATCGCTATGGATCCTCCAGGACATTCCCTGGTCACCCAGTTAAATGGGCTGGGGGAAAAGATGTGTTGCCACAGTATCAGCGTGTTACGGCGGTCTCTGAACAGAATGTGTTCTGTGGAGCAGGACCTGTTCAGCCAGCACAGAGCCCCCAATGAGACAGAGCAGGGAGCTGGTGCCATGCAGGCTCAGCTGCAGGACAGAAGTCTCCTGAGTGCAACTTTGACATCTTTGTTCCTCAGGGTGTAGATGAGGGGATTCAGGGTGGGTGCCACAGAGGTGTAGATGACAGATACCACCTTGTCCCTTTGCAGTGAGTAGCTGGACGCAGGGCGGATGTACGTATAGATGACCGTGGAGTAGTACATGGTGACCACCAGGAGGTGTGCAGAGCAAGTGGAGAAGGCACGCCGCTTGCCCTCTGCTGAGCGGATGCGCAGAATGCTAGCCACAATGAGGCCGTAGGAGAGCATAATCACAGAGAAGTTTCCCACGGCCAGGATCACGTCGGCGGCGAAGGCCATGGCCTCGTTGAGGCCCGTGGGGGCACAGGAGAGCTTCAGGAGCGGGGGGATCTCACAGAAGAAGTGCTCAACCACGTTGGAGCCACAGAATGGCAGGCGCATCGTGAGGCTAGTATTCACACAAGTGTTGGTCAGGCTGATGGCCCACACAGCAGCCGCCAGGAGCGTGCGGGCTCGGGCGCCCATCCGTGCGCTATAGTGCAGGGGCCAGCAGATGGCCACGTAGCGGTCATAGGCCATTGCAGAGAAGAGCAGCAGCTCTGCCCCCATGGACCATGTGAAGAAGAAAAGCTGGGCCATGCAGCCCCCCCAGGAGATGGTCCTCCTGGCCACCATGCAGCCCAGCAGCTTGGGTAGGATGGTGGAGGTGCAGAGAATGTCCACTGCAGCCAGGTTGGTCAGAAAGAAGTACATGGATGTGTGCAGGGCTGGGCTGGCACTGACCAGCACCACAATGAGCAGGTTTCCCAAAAGGGCAGCAGTGTAGAGGCCGAGGAAACCGACAAAGAGCAGCGGTCGCAGGTGAGGAGCTTCTGAGAATCCCAGGATGAGGAACTCAGTGACCAGAGTCTGATTCATCCCAGGGCTGGTGTGTGACCCAAGCAAGTGTGGGCCGCTGCTCTGTCTTGGTGGCTCCATCGGGAGCTGGAGAGAAAACAAACCAGTTTCAGCTGGTTCTACAGAGCCTACTGCTCATGTGGCCCATTCAGAGACAACATTTCAAGCACTATGATGAGAGAAAAACAGAGTCTGGGCCACCACATATTGCAGAAAGAGTCACCATTTAGGGAATGAGAACTCCCCCACTCTTGCTCTCAGGATGCTGAGACAGCAAAATATCTGGGATTCACTTCATGTAGTTGGGCAGTCCGGCCCAAAGAGCCCTAAGCATGGGCTCTGCCCTGGGGGGGTGGGTCTCCCAGGGAAACTCCAGGGGCCTGAGTTCTATCTCTTGAGAAATTGCAAAAGATGTGTTTGTTAACCAAACAAGCAGTGAGGCACGGCCCCTCCCCTCCCCTCCCGGCTAACAGCACTGCGTGTCTGGGAGCGTGAGCAGTGAGGCACAGCCCCTCACCTCCTTCTCTAATGCGCTCAGCCAGATCAGCCACGACCTATGCACTATTGGACGTGGTGGGTGCGACTGGATGTGGCAGAGCGAGGCTGTCTGTGGGGTGTGGGGCAGGGCTGAGCTTCAACTCCAGACCCTCTGCCCTGTGGGTGCAGCTCACTCATCTCCACGGCAAGGCTCACTTGGCCTGACCAACTTCCCAGCTGGAACCAGAGGCCTCCAGATAAACTTTAAACAGTGTCAGCTCAGGCCCGTGTGTGCCAGCTTCAAAATCATGAGATGAGAGCATATGGCTTGGCTTTGAACACAAATTATGACTAGGCTTGGGGATACTAATATTTGCTTAGAATTTCCCATTTGTAAATATCTAAGTAGATCATACGCATTTATAATTTCGTTGTCAGATGTTTTGTAAACCTGGGGATGAAGCAAACTATTTTCTAGTTGGCTTAGTTCTCATCTCTCCTCCTCTGTCTGCTTCAATATCTGGGGGTTTGTGGCCTTCACTAACTATTACAAGGACACGGCCCTGAAAGAGTGGCCAGAGAGCCACAGACCATGTCACCTCAGGGTGAGCCTGCAGCCATGGAAGGTGCTGAAGGGTTTCTATATGGAAGTTACACTGAAAGGGTGGAGAGACAGAAAGAAAGACAGGGAAGCAAAAGGTGAGAGACAGAGACAAAGAGATAGAAACAGAGACAGGAAGATGTAGAGCTAGCAGAGCACACAGAGAGAGAGAGGGAGACAGAAGACAGAGACACACAGACTGGGAGAGAGACAGAGAACCTCATGGATAGAGGGAGACACAGAGAGAGAGAGACAGGGATTGAAGCAGAGAGATGGTCAGAGAGACAGAAGTAGAGAGAGACCGAGAGTCGTAGTAAAGTAGGGATAAGGAAAAATAGAGTGTCAGAGACAAACACCAACTGAGTTGCAGAGAGAGACTCTGAGAGAAAGAGAGACAGAAACAGAAAGATAAATACAGAGAGACAGGGACAGAGGGAGAGACAAGGACAACACAGAGTCAAAGTCAGAAAGACAGACACAGAGTCAGAGACAAGAGTCAGGAAGAGGGAAGGGCAGAACGAGTTGGAAAAAGAGAGAGGATGCATGAACCAAGAAGGGGCTTTATGCTACAACGTGTGGGAGTTTCCCATTGCCCTTCTCCTACTACAGAGCTTCTGTCCCCAGAAAGGACAGCAAAGGAACCTCATAGATCTTAGTCACGACCCCCATTCCCGAATTATTGTCCCTTGTTTTCAAACATATATATATAGATTCAAAAGCCCATTACAGCTGGTGCTTACAAAAGCTGGTGGGAGACTTCCCAGAGGCCTCTCAGGAAACTTGCTTCTTGCTCTCCTGAAAGAAGTTTAGTCATCAGCTGTTATTAGTGAATGAAATTGGTTTAAAAGGAGGGAAGTACATAGATAGCAGAGGTGAAGGAAAGTGGCCTGGGGTTAGCACCACAGGCCGGGTCCTGTCTGTAATCGTCAGATTGGCTCTGAGGGACCAGTTAAGCAGGAACTCCCTGGCCTCTTGGGAAGGGCCCTCGTGAGAGCTGACCAGTGGTTCAGGACAGATCATTACCTCCCAGGAGTTCCAGCCCCTGGCACAACTGGTGATCCTCAGCTGGGAAGGGCTGGTGCTCTGCCCTGCTTCCCAGGGACCGGCTCTCCAGCAGCCGTGTGAGGGAGGACTCAGGGAGCTGACAAGCCGGTCATGGAGTGGAGACATGTTCATGCCCTGTGCCAGCGAGCTACCCAAACACAAGTTCTGCTCAAGGCCGCCAAGGCCTTTATTCCAGACACAAGCCCACAAAAGGTCAGCATCTGCCCACAGCACGGCTGTGTGCGGGCGTTCCCTGGCTCCGGACCTCAGAGTGGCTAATAGCCCCTCAGTCCATGCTGCTGCTTGGGCACAACGGGTTATCTTTAAGTTTCCACTGTTGGCACTTCACAAATGCTTGCAGAGATCAGGACCAGGTGTGAGATTGCCACCTTTGCCCACCAGCAGCTCCCCTGCCGGCAGCTCGCCCACCTCTCTCTCCCTTGCCTTCTTTGAAACTTACCTCAGCTCCTGAGGAACATGCGCACTGAAGCTAGTGCCCCTGACCCGCACGGACCATTCCACATGGGGCACAATCATCGGTGAATCAATCAGAAGCCTGCCAGGCCCAGGCCAGCCTCAGATGCAATGATAGCCAGCCATAACCACGCACTAGGCAAGGTTGGCCCAGTGTGGGAGAGGCCACACTGTCTCTGCAGGACCTGTGCCCATACCCAACCCCCCTGTGTCTTCATGTAAGGACAGAGCTTCAGCAACCCGGGCTGTGCCGCTACAGGAGGAGCATAAGGATGAACCCAACTGCGTGAGGGTCTGACTGGCCTGGATGAGGGATGGAACCAGCTGCCTGGCAGTGCCAGCCCAAAGCATCCATGCTTCCCATGGGATTGGGTGGGCCAGGGTGTTGCCTGACATCTACGCTTGACCCCTTCCCTAACTTGTTTTCTTAGAGTCCTGTAATAAGTCACTTACACTCAGCCCTTGTTTCAGAAACAGCCTGCCAAAGGTGCTGGTGGTGATGGATGTGTGTCCAGGAGGAAAACCTGGTAATTCAAGAAGAGACCAATGCCCATGGAAGCTCGTGCCGTGGCACCCGTGGCATGGGAGGATGGGCTCCTCAGCCACCTCCACCCAGCCGGGGCGCTGCACAGCTCCTCAGAGTGAACCCCGTGTATCTACAGGCCAGCACCGAAGGGAAGCCGTTCAAAGGCAGGCATTCAAAGTGATTGTCCTGATACTTATTTTATCGGGCTTTGACTTAGTCCTTCTAAAGAATGATACTGTCTCACTCTCTACAGAGTCTATTATACCTCAGTTAATTAATTTATAACCGCTTGCACACCACCCAGTGTGTTTACTTATAGTTTTGTAGGCACATTCTTGCTCCCACAAATGAGGAAAACCATGCAGTCCATGTTTCTCTAGGTCTGGCTGACTTCACTTAATATAATTTTTTCCAGGTCTTTCCATTGCCTTATAATTGGTACAGTATCCTTTTCTTCTGATGGATGAGTAGAATTCCATCATGTATACACACCACATTTTCTTGATCCATTTATCCATGAAGGGGCATTGGGCTGATTCCATACCTTGGCTATGGCAAACAATGCTGCAGTGAACATGGTTGTGCTGATAATCAGCTTTAATATATCCCTGTTTCTGCTTTATTGGATAAATGCCCAGAAGTGTGATTGCTGGGTCATAGGGTAGTTCTATATTTAGTTTTTTGCTTGTTTGTTTGTTTCCTGCTTGTTTGGAGTTTTGTTGGTCATGGGCCTTGAACTCAGCCTGAGTACTGTCCCTCAACTCTTCAGCTCAAGGCGAGTGCTCTACCACTTGAACCATAGCACCACTTCCAGTTTTTGCTTTTCCTGTCCAGGCTGACTTTGAACCACAATCCTCAGATCTCAGCCTCCTGAGTAGCTAGGATTACAGGCGTGAGCCACTGGTGCCTGGCTATGTTTAGTTTTTAAGGAACCTCTATACTGCTTTCCAAAGTGGTTGAACAAGTCTATATTTCCACCAACAGTGTCATAGAGTTTCCTTTTGGCAGCAAGAAGGGGTGGGGGAGGGGGGAAGGAGAGAGAGGTAGAAGAATGAATGGGGAAAATGAATAGAATGCAGGCAAGGACGCTTTGTATACACCACAGAATTGAGAAAAATAAGGGAAGGCGGGGTGAAGACGTTGAAGGATGACACACAATGCATTGTGTTCATAATTGCTTTGTTAAATGGCAAAGGTATTTGATACGTCATCTACAAATTAAGAAAGGGGGGGGGTGGCAAGGACTGACGCTGATCCAGGCACTGTGTCCATAAACTGCCTGGTTCGACACCAACTTCTTTGTACAACCACTTAAAGAGAATAAAAATATTCAAAACAAAACCAAAGTGATTATCCTCCCCACTTTTACCGTCTCCCTCCCTGGCATTGTCTGTTGCTCTGTCCCTTTTGGGGAAGAGGTGGTGACTGTCACTCAGGACCTAGCACCTACTCACTTTCCTTCTTTGACTTTGGCTCTAGGCAAAAGCTGGCATCTGTGGTCCTGAAGCATCACACAGATTTGTGGCAATCCCTGGGCTCCCACAAAAATCACATTCATAGTCTCCACATTCAAAGTTCTCCAGAAGAGCATATGCATGCTGCTCTTGCAGCAAGTGAGAACACCTGAGAACCAGCATTCTGCATTCTGCTCAGCACCAGTGAGACAGACATGCTCTCCAAAGGCCTGCATCCTGCTGCAGGAGGCATTATTCACTCAGCTGGTATGTATTATGTGCCTTCTGCCATACTAGGTATGGTTGTTAAGGTTGAGATACAGCAGTAAGACAAACAGATGGATTAGTAAAAAGTTAATTAGTAAGTCGGGCACCGGTGGCTCACGCCTGTAATACTAGCTACTCAGGAGGCTGAGATCTGAGGATTGGCTTGAAGCCAGCCTGGGCCAAAAAGTCCCCATAACATTTATCTCCAATTAACTACTCAAGAGCCAGAAGTGTCGCTGTGGTTCAAGCGGTAGAGTGCTAGCCTTGAGCACCAAGAGGTTCAGGGAAAGCACTCGGGCCCTGACTTCAAGCCCCACAACTGACAATAAAAGAAATTAATTAAAATTTAAATAAATAAAAAATAACATATAAAAAGTAAGTAAAAAGTTAGTAAATAGAAGGTCTGAGAATTACTCATGATCTCAAGAGGACAAATTAAATTACGTGTTGTGAATATCAGAGGAAATCTTTCTGATAAGGGTATAATACCACTACGGCATTTTGTCTGAGACCTGGGTGTCAAAGTTAGAAACAAGTGAGGGTGACAGTGGAGCATAGCAGGCACATTTGACTATTGGAAGGCGGTCAGGTCTGGGAGTAGGGAGGGGGAGGAGGAGGTGAGCAGAGAGGGGAACTGCGCCACGTGTGTATTCGTGGAAGCAGTGTAAGGTGGACTCGATTCAGGATAGGAAAAGAATCAGTTCTTCTAGGTTTTGTCGTTGCTTTATCTTGATTTGTATTACATCTCCAGTCTCAAAGGTATTCCCAACTCCACCAACCAAGCAAAGGTCCAACTGAGACTCAGTGTGGACCCAACAAATCAGTGGAGTCACAAAATGGCTTGAATGTGTGCTCCTCACAATGGAGGCCTTTGGGAGTACTCAGGAGAAGTCTTCCTCTGCCAAACCTTGGGCACAATGAGTAGCAAACTTACTCTGAGATTGGAAGACACAAGCGCACCAGCTTGAGAGCCCCTGGGCCACGCTGAGAAGACCCACTTGCCCACCACTGTGTCTCTGCGTGACCCCCCAGGCAGCCCTGGCCATGGCGTTGGAGGAAAGTCTGTCCTGAGCAGCCCCAAGGTACTCTTCCCTGCACAGTTCGTAGTCACCACCTATCAGAAAGGGCTTGAACTGCTTGGATGCACTCTCTCAGAGAGCTGCCCCCCAGGGTCTTGCCTCTCTGGCAACCACACCCGAAGGCTTTGCAGCAGCACCCACAGCCAGCCACACGCCCAGGCTGCATCTAGAGGGAAACAGCTCTGGGTCTGGCCCAGAAGAAATAAGCACCAAATACATGAGGGGGCCACAGGCGGAACTGGAGCTCCTTTCATCTAAAACTTTATTGGAGAAGCAGTTGAAGTTTCCATTTTTCTCGCTACATTTACATATATTACATCTTATATATCTTACACGTACACATCTGGTTCATTGTTGAATTGTTGGTCTTCTCACTGATGCCATCTCTTTTATACCTAAGTGTAAGTAAAATAGAAACTTACCGCAGGAGATGTGCAAATTGAAATGTAGAAATGCAAGTAAAAGGGCAAGACAATATGGTTCCTCCAAAACCTCATGACAATTCAGTATCCAAATCCACAGATGCTGAATTGGCTGGAAAGCCAGAAAAGAATTCAAAAGCCTACTCTTTAGTAGCAACTCTTTAGAAGTGTTTTAAAATAGAAATATGTAAAATAAGGGTGTTGTTCATAAAATAAAGGCATTTTATTATGGTATTTATAACATGTATATAATATACTTGAATCAAGTATACCTGTATTTCTTTCTTAGCCACCCTGCCTTCTAAATGGCTTTTGATGGGTTTCCTTGTGCTGTTTTTACTGGTGTGTATTTCAATACCAATCACCTCTTGTTACCCTCCTCTTTCTCTCTCCTTCCCACAAGCCTACTTTTTAAATGATCACTGACCTCAAATGGGGATCAAACTAACTTAGAAAATCAATGCAAGAACTAGACAAGAAAGTCAACAACAGATTAGAAATTTTGCAAGGAAATTGAAATTGTGGGGGAAAAAAACAGAAATTTTGGACACAAAAAGTGAAATAAAGAAAATAAAAGACATAGTAGACAACATCATCATCAGACAAGATCCAGCAAAAGAGATCAGGGTCCAGAGAGCTGTGGGTTGGAGTCAACCCAGGCAGAAAAGTTCCCAAGACTCCATCTTAAAATAACCAACCTAGCCAGGCCCACACCTGTCATCCTAGCTACTCAGGAGGCTGAGATCAGAGGATCACGGTTTAAAGCCAGCCCTGGCAGGAAAGTCTGTGAGACTTATCTCCAATAAACCACTAGACAACTGGAAGTGGTGCTGTGGCTCAAGTGGTAGAGCGCTTGCTTTGAGCTGAAGAGTGCAGGGACAGCGCCCAGGCCCAGAGTTCAAGTCCCACAACTGGCAAAAATAAAAAAAATAAAAATAAAAAATAACCAAGCTAGAGGAATGGCTCAACAAGGAGATTTCCAGCCATGCAAGCAAGCCAAGTAAGCATACAGTCAAGTTCAAACCCCAGTACTGGCTAAAGAAAGAAAGAAATCAACCAACTAACAACTATGACCACAACCTTCAAGAACATTGAGATCTGATTCTAAATTGTTTTGTAAAGGAGGAACTAAAATGCACAGGAAGAAAATGATTTAATAAAACCATAGCAGATGTTTCCCCAAATCTTGGGAAAGATATAGACACCCATATGAAGAAGGTATTTTAAACTCCAAATAAACATGACCACAGAAGAAACTCAGCAGAGAATATAATGATTAAAATGTCAATACTAAAGAAAACAAAGAAGCCAGGCACCAGTGGCTCATGCCTGTCATCCTAGCTACTCAGGAGGCTGAGATCTAAGGATCACGGTTCAAAGCCAACCCAGGCAGGAAAGTCCATGAGACTCTCCAATAAACCACCAGAAAACCAGAAGTGGTGCTGTGGCTCAAGTGGTAGAGCGCCAGCCTTGAGCTGAAGAGCTGAGGAACAGTGCCCAGGCCCAGAGTTCAAGCCCCACAACTGACAAAAAAGAAAAAGAAAACAAAGAAACTATACTAAAAACACAAAGAAAAAATGCCAGCATATACATCCAGATATACAATAGTCTTATGAACACTCAGACCACCCAGCACAAATTCTGAAAACCAAGAGAGCATGGAAAACATATGTTAAGCTCTGAAAATAATTCTACCAACCAATAATACTATATCCAGCAAAGTTTTCCTTCAATTTTGATGGAGAAATTAAGACATTGCTAAAGAAATTCATGTCTACCAACCCTGCTTTACAGAAGATGTTTAAGCTAATACTATACACAGAAGAGGAAGAAAGACAGTTTCAAGTTCAAGAGTTCAAAAAAGGATAAAATCCAGAAGACTAGATGAAGATATGAGACCTAGAAAATTATCCAACATATTAAACACCGCAAACCAGCAAAATCCAAAGATGACTAATGATAAAAGAAAAGTCAATACTCTAACTTGGAAAAATATTAAAAATTGAACCACAGGAAAGAGTAAATATTTCTCAATCATACCTGTAAATGCAAATGTTCTTAATTCTCCAGTCAAAAGACACGCATTGGCTGGGTGCTGATGGTTCACACCTATAATCCCAGCCACTCGGGGGGGCTGAGATCTAAGGGCTGTGATTCTAAACCAGATGGGGCAGGGAAGCCCATGAGACTCTTATCTCCAAATAACTACCAAAAAAGCCAGAAGTGAAGTTGTGGTTCAAGTGATAGGAGTGCTATCCTGAGCAAAAAAAGCTGAGGGATAGCACCCTGTCCCCGAGTCCAAGCCCCAGGACTGGCACACACGCACATGCACACACACACACACAGACTGACTGAATTAAAGACTAGGGTACCACAATTAGCTGTGTACAAGATACCTCCATGTGAAAGAATGGAAAACAACATAACAAGCAAGAAGGAGCAGCTACCCTCAGACAAGCAGGTATCATTAGCAGAGCATTCTCAAGTAGCTACACCAGTGGGATGGAGTTGAGAAGAGAGGCACAGATGCAGATTCACATTCGGATGCTACTGGCAAACAGTTACAATTGATGAGGAGTATATTACAGCCTAGACAAAATCACCTTTGAAAGAAGGAGAGAAGGAAGTCTCCTAAAAAGCCATGAATACAACACTAAGAGACCTGGGTAGAAGGTAAGACACACAATACTGAGAAAGCTAAGGTGGGCCCACAGAGCTAATGCTGCAGAAGCTTCTGTCAAATGAGTCTCCTCCTGCTGAGATGGCAATGCTGCCTTATTTAATGGGAACAAATAAGCAAAGCAATGTCTTTCTGCAGAACCTGAGTAGCAGGGATGGAAGAGGTCACGTTCTCTCGCTCTCAGTGGTGTCAGGACACAGCCCCACCCCAGTTATCTCTGAGTTCACACCAGGAGAGCAATCCAAGGTGAGGGAGGGGAATTCTTTCCAAAACAGGCTGTGGAGAGGGGCTGGGAAGGTGGCTCAGTGGTAGAGCGCTTGCCTTGCATGCCTCTGAGGCCCTGGGTTCCATTCCTCAGCACCACATAAGCAAAAAGAAAAAAGCCGCAAGTGGCGCTGTGGCTCAAGTGGTAGAGCGTTAGCCTTGAGCTGAAGAGCTGAGGGACAGCGCCCAGGCCCAGAGTTCGGGCCCCACGACTGGACCCAAAAAAAAAAAAAAAACAGGCTGTGGAGAGAGGCCACATCAGGCCTTGCACAAAATAGGAAGGTGTAACCTTACGGTCCCTTAAAACCTGAAAGAAAAGTGGCCAGCAGCCTCCAGAACCAGAGTAGAAACCACCAGGAGAGGCCCAGTGCTCCCGGGATGCTCCCGGGACCCAGGCGTCAGCAGCAAACTCAGAAAGGAGAGCAGACAAGTGGCCCTGCGGGTTTTGCTCTCCCAGCTCCCTGCTGGGCCTCCCTTTCAGTGTGCAGCCTGCAGGCCTGGCAGACTCCACCTGAGGGCTCCAGATGTCTGAGGCCATGGGCATGCTGGCCGTCCTGCAGAAGCTCATTGCCTACCAACCACATCAGAAACCTCCATGTTGCTTGCATCCCATTCTCAAAGTCATACCTAGACCACTCCATCTCGCTCACCCAAGGCAGGGGAACATCTTCCTGAGGGCCACTTTGACATCCTTGTTCCGCAGAGAGTAGATGAGGGGGTTCAGGGTGGGGCTAACGGCAGTGTACAACAAGGCGACCACCTTCCCGTTTTCCAGGGAGGACCCAGAGGCAGGGAGCACATAGGTGTAGATGACCGTGGAGTAGTAGAGCGTGACCACCACCAGGTGCGCGGAGCAGGTGGAGAAGGCACGCCGCTTGCCCTCTGCCGAGCGGATGCACAGGATGCTGGCGATGATGCAACCATAGGATGCCATGGTCAGCAGGAAGTTGACCACACCAAAATAAGCATCTGCTATGACGATCATGATGTTGTTCAGGGTGGTCGGGCTACAGGACAGCAGCAGCAGCGAGGGGACTTCACACAGAAAGTGACGGATCTGGTTGGGGCCGCAGAAATGCAGCCGCGCCATAAGGCCAGTGTGCACAGATGTGCTGACGGCACTGACCACCCACACCGCGCTGGCCAGGAGGAGGCAGGCTGCCCGGCTCATCATCGAACTGTAGTGCAGTGGACGGCAGATGGCCACATAACGGTCATAGGCCATGGCCGTGAGCAGCAGCAGCTCCGCTCCCAGGAACCATGTCAAGAAGAAGAGCTGGGCCATGCAGCCCCTGTAGGAGATGGTGCTGCCCTTGCCCAGCAGGCCCTGCAGGAGCTTGGGGAGGACAGTGGATGTACAGACAATGTCTAACAGGACCAAGTTAGTAAGGAAGAAGTACATTGGAGTGTGAAGGACTGGATTCAGGCTGATGGCCATGACAATGATGGAGTTTCCTAAAAGAGCCAGGAGGTAAAGCAGAAGGAAGATGACCAAGAAGAGAGCCTGGAGCCAAGGGTCTCCAGAGAAACCCTGCAGGACAAACTCCGCCACAGCCGTGTGGTTGTTCACTGCCATTTGTAGGTGAGATCCTCGGGGTTACTGGACCTCAGCCAGGCCTGGCTGACCAGGCACATGTGGGTCCTGCCCCTGAGATGGGCAGTGCTTGCTGTGGGCGGTGTGGCCGCAGAAAGCACACAATTGAGCCAGGAAGATGGCAACTCTCCACTCTGCAAAAGCCCTAGAATGGCGCCCCCTGCTGGTCTTCACTGAGAAGTGTCCCTCCAGCCATCCACCATGGAAGGTGTGGCCTCAGTTTACTTTTCCGTGTGTTTTATATTCTCTCTAGACTTGTAGCTCCACTGTGAGCACATGTGCCTGCCCCATCAAGTTGGTAATCTGGCACAGGGCTGGGGCTCCCGGGGAGGGTGAGCTGCGTGGCCAAGGCCTTTGAGGGACTCTGCAAGGGGAGAGATGGGATCAGTAGTCTCCAGGGGTCCTCAGCCAGCTCCTGGGGCTGACACCCTAGGCCCTAGATCAACCTGACTGCAACTCCTTTGTAGACATCTCCACTGCCTATACCTGCCCAGCCACCCCAGGTAGGGAGAGGTTGGACCCTATGAGGTGGCCAGGGTAGCTGGTTACCCTGTCCCCAGGCCAGGCAGAGCCCAAGCCCTCAGTGAGTTAAGGCTGTTTCAGGGCTGGAGACATGCTAACAAAGCCTCGGACCCTGCCTAATCTTCAGGTCACCAGCCATCTTCCTCCTCACATACCTGACCAAGCACTCTGACTTCCAGGGCCTCCTTGTGCAGGAGGGTGGCTCAGGCCAAAGAGAGGGTGCTGGGCCCAAAAGGAGTTAAAACACCACGTCCTCTCCCTTCCTGTGCCACATCTCTGGGAGGCGTGAGCTCCCTGAACACCGGCCCGGCTCCCAGGGACACCAACAAAGGGAGGCTGAGACAGAGCCCTTCCTGCACCCAGGGAACCTCCAGGACCCTGCAAAAGTGAAGACTGGTGAGCCAGTGTTCTCTGCAAGTGCATAGTGCCTGGGGCAGCGCCTTGCCGCACAGACACACACATGCACATATGCACACACACACACACATGTGCACACACACTCCAATACATGCACATACGCACACACATGTGCACACGCACACACACACACAGCTTCTCAGCTGCATCTCAACATCCCTCTGGTTGCACCACCTGAGCCCCAGCTCCTTGTAATAAGTGACTCTGCACAGGAAACCACCATGCTCTCAGAGATTTTGATCTGCCTCCCAGGCCAAGCCAAAGGTTTGTGCTCACAGCCAAGACAGAGCAGAGCAGAGCAGATCTGAGGGGGCCCTGGGAATCTGACATTTCACACTGAAACTGGGGGAGACATGAGGAAGTGACATTTTACACACATTAAAACAGGTCAGGGTATAACCGAATCTCTTACCAGAAGTACTTTTAAAAGAAGGGGGGAAAGGATAAACAAACCAAAGAAGGGTTGTAGGGACAGAGCAACTCACATGTATGGACACACTGGTCTTGACTGCTCCCCTCTAAACCCAGGATATCCTCCTTTCAAGAAGAAAGTGTGATGTGGCCAGGAGGTTACAGCTGCCCCTCCAGTTCCAGGTCTCCTTTGTTTGCTGCTGACCTTTAAGTGGAGGTGTTCCCATGGGGTAGACACGGAGGTTACTAGAGCTCCTGGCATCCCAGAATGGCCTTTGGGGAGCAATTACCCTCCTAGTGGAAGCAACAGTCCCCAAAGGGCCCGGTCCCCAAGCTGAGGCAAGACCAGATCCCTGTGGGCATCTGTGATGCCAACAAGGGCTCCAGGATGCCGGGTCTTGTGGAAATGCTGAGGGTGGGCTGCCGTGATCTCCGTCCTGTGGTGCCCAGCTGGTGGCTAAGCAAGGGCTGTGTGCACCAGACCCTTGCCGGAAGATGGGATGCTTCCCTTTCAATAAATACTGCTCTGAAGCGTGGCCTGTAGCTGCCCCCTCCCCACGTCCCCTTCATCAGCATCTCGCCTTGGGTAGCACGGCCACTAGTCAACAGACCACTGCCACCCATAACCACAGCTCAAGCAGCAATCCATTCACATTTTCTGAATGCTCCTGGACACCTCATCCAAGCTGTTTATGGTTTCCTTAGGTTCTCTTGACTGAGATCATTTCTCAAACTTCCTTGCTTTTGATGAATGTGACAGTTCTGAAAAATACTAGTTGGTGTTTTGTAACATGACCCTACCTTTGGATCTATCTGTTTTCCCCTCAAAGACCAGAGTTTTGAGTTTGGGTGAGGAAAAGGACAGGGGCACACCACAAGCTCACGGTACCCCAAGAGAGCCCACAGCTGACCTGGCACATGACTGCTGATGCTGAGCCCTGGGGTTCATCTTCTCTTCCATGCTCACATCCTCCTGTGAGGACGGAGCGTCTGAAGGCCGCCGGCATGGAGAGGCAGCGCCATAGTCCAGACTCCATCCCCGGTGATGTCTCCAAAGCCCTGGCTGGTGAGGAGTGAGCTTGCTGCGACCAACTCAGTTCTGTGTGGCGCTAAGGCCCACACTGGCTGATAAAGCATCTCTTCAAGTATCAGAAAACAACCACAGAGATCTACGAGACAATATGCAAAAGAAAAGGCCTATGGCTTGTCTTAGTGGCCAAGTTCAGAATGTAAGCGTTCAGAAACCAGGTACTGCAAAGAACCAAAGAAGGAACTAATTTGAATTGCTCCTTTAAAGTGGACCTTAACGCCACAAACAAAATCACTACTGGCCCCTTCACATTTCAAACTCCCTAAGTACTTCAGTTAATTGGTCAGCTCATTTCCATTCTTTTGCCAACAATTTCTTTACTATGACAGAGAATCTAACAGCGATTAAACAATTCAAGATTTGAACAATGCCTGGAATATATTCAGATACAATAGATAACCTTCAGCAATGCTTTGTTTTTCCTAATCAGAGAATTTTTTCTTAATGAGATGATACTGACTCTGAAAAATAATTAGATATCAAAATCCCTATAGTATTGATTTAATGTTATTTCATGGTCCAAAATAAGTAAGCATTTTTGTAGCCCATAGGCCTCAAAATCAAATTTCATCCTTAATGAGGCAAACCTCTGCCCTATGTCTGGGGGCAAAATACAGCAGTGCCTCTCCTCCAGATATGTGAGGATTCTCAAGCTAGCTGGGCAGCCCAACAGCAAGGCATGGCAAGATGTCAGTGTACTCAACAATTGCCTGGGTAACCTTCCTGGAGAGGGTGCTGTGGGAAATTAGGTGAGCAAATGGACTTCTTCAGGTCCAGGGTGTTAAATACAAGAGACAGACACAGGAAAGTCCCCAGACAGGACACAATCAAATACAAGAGACGAGACACAGGAAATCTCCCAGATGAACCACATGCAATTAAATATAAGAGAGGAGACACAGGAAAGCCCCCAGATGGACCACAGACAATCAGGCACCTTGTACCCAGAGTATAGTATGTGGATATGGGGGAGACATGCTGGAGAGGCTGGTGTGAGGGTCCCACTCCCTAGGGAACACTAAGAATCAAGAAGAGAGGGAAACAGAGCAGAGGCAGCAGTGACTGGACCAGGGGTGGGGATGTAGGTGTCTCTCACTGTGTTTGCTGGATCAGGCTGACCTGGCTCCGCCTCAGGGTGACATTTTAGAAGACATGAGCTTCCACCCCTCCACTCTTGGAGGTCAGAAGGGCCTTGATGATCTGAGATCATTGTTTCAGAGGTAATTGCAGGGCTGTCCCCACTTGAACCCTGACCGGAGGTGCTCTGGACTGGAAGGGGAGAGTTGGGAATAGCCGGTGAGGGAGGCTCCAAGCTCTACCTGCGGGCACCAGCATGTGTGATAAGAACAGACAGCCCTTGAACTCAGTCTCATAGGAGACTGAATTCACATGGAGTGGCAGCAGAATTATAGCAACAGAATGAAGTTATAAATCAGTAGATAAATGAAATTGCAGACATTCACAAGTGGAAATTAAACCACACACTCATATGGAAACAGTAAGTTCAGAAAATTACAATAAAATCAGAAAAAAATGTCTTGAGAATAATGAAAATAAGGACAAATGTTACAAAAATGTATAGAGGGAATTTTTGTATCGGTAAAATCTGATATTGGCTGGCTTCAAACCATGATCCTCAGATCTCGGCCTCTTGAGTAACCAGAATTGCATGCATGAGCCACTCTGATGAATCTCTCCAGAGCCGTCTGGGGTGCCCGGCAGGCATCTCTGGATTTATGGTGTATATGCTAATATGGACCTGAATTTTTCTCATAGAGATCGCGACCAGATGGAAACCAAGGAGTATCTTAGTGTACAATTGCTGGATAGGAAAGAATTTCATACGAAGGGAGCAAATCCCAAACTGTTTCTAGCAGACTGGTTGAGCCAAGGCTCCCCAGGGCTCCTGCCAGCTGGAGGGGTAAAGGGGAAGGGAAGGCAAAACCCTGACCCCCCCCATCTCACAGGAGAGAGGAAGGTCAAAGAATATTTTCAGCTCTGGTCCTCTGGTTTAATGCTTGAGAGACCAAAAAGCAGTATGACTTGTATTGGACAAAAACTTGTGACTGGACAACCTGCCCTCCAGGCTTGGTGTGGCCATCTGTCTCCACTTCCCACAGGGCAGCTGATGGCCACAAGGATGTGTGGGAGTGGCCATTCCACACTGCCAGTAGAGGAAGGACAGGCAGGGTCAGAGTCCAGCTGTCCACCGGGGCAGGGACCTGGTCAAGATGTCGACGTCATCTTCACACATGTGGCCCTGACACATCCTCAAGACTCTGGCCTGTCGCTAACCCTAGGCTGTACAGTGGCTCCTCTGAGCCAACTCCCTCTGGTGTTCCCTGTGGTCACTGTCTTGGAACATTAATAAGTTCCTTTTGTTATCATTTGTGTCTTCGTGTTTTGAGTCATGTATTCTCTGTGTAGCCCAAACCGGCCTCAAACTCAAAATCCTCCTGTTTCAGCCTCCTGAGTGCAGGTATTCAAGTTGTAAATCATCACACCAGAAAAATCAGTATTTTAGTATTTTGGACTAGGTAAAATGTTAGAAAAAAAGTCATAACAATAAATCTGTGTGATACAAAATTGCAACTTTGAGTACAGTATTTGGTTTGTCTTCCTCAGAGTTTCACTGTGTGATACAAAATTGCAACTTTGAGTACAAGTATTTGTCTGGTTTGTCTTCCTTCGAGTTTCACTCCTATTGCTGATTTCTCACTTGTGAGGAGTAGCTCAGTTTCCTCTTGTGACTGGCTGTGTGCCCAGTAAGGACCCTCCACCTGAACCCCAAGCCCTCTTCCCTTCTCAGCTGAGCCCTTCCAGTCACCCCAGAACCACTGCCAGCTCCTGTGACACAAGGCCTGAATCCTCAACCACCACCCCAAGCCCCTCACAGCCATCCTGTCCTAACGCATTCCTACCCATCTGCTTATAGTCCTCACTGCACAACTCCCACAGATCTGGTTCCATGACAGTCCAATACACCAGTCACATTCACACACACACACACACACACACACATACACACACATGCATTTATAATTTACACATACACACACAGATGAGCACTTGCATACACACACAATTCACCCATATACATTTTCACTCTTAAACACACAATTCAAACTGACCCATGCCTCCTAAACCTCATACCGAGACAGGTTCCAAGAAGAAGTGCTCGGTCTTTACCAACAGTCTTGCCTAGCGTCTCTGGAGAGGTGCTGAGCACCGAGATCACTGGATCCAGAACTTCTAATCCACACAGGACACCCGGCATCTGGCCCGCACCTCCAGTGTCCACCAAATGTGGCCCCCACCCATCAGAGCCTGCATAGACTACAGTCCGGGCATCACAAGAACTACTGCCCCTCATTCACACACCCCGTCAACTTGATTCCACATGGAGGATCGTAGTTCTGCATCGGCAGCCCACTCACCTACACCACCAGGCCTGACACTTCACTTGCTAAAGTCAGTGCCCAAGGTTCTGTCGTCAGCTCTCATATAATCCTAGAGCGTAACCCACCACCAAATCTCTAAGAATTCTCTGCAAATAAGTCAACAAGGGGCAGGCATTTGAAAACTTCCTAATTTATTGGAGGAAAGAGCTGGAGCTGCTTCTCAAGATGCAGGGGCCTCTGGGGTGTACAGAGAGTATAAACAAGTCAGTGTGGGAAATGACAGGGCACAGGTGCCTGAGGCTGAGCACTCACACCAGGAGAAACAACAGGCGAGCAGGCAGGACAGACCCTGACATTTTTATGCCATCAGAATCTCTGCCAGTGACTCTGGGGCTTTTGTCTGAGCTGACATGTCCTGTGTTCGTCAGTGTCTGTAACTCCATGAAGGTCTGTGGTTGTAGAGAGTTGTGTGGACTGCTGGAAGACCACGGATTCTACGCACCCAGTGTACACTGGGAGGCAACATCATCCTAGAGTAGTTGTGTTCTCACCCGCCATGTAGCCAATCGTCCACCAGAACTAGCAGAGCCCGGTTTATACAAGGGCGCCACAAAGCCCATCTGCCTGAGAGCTTCAGGAGCCCATTCTCCACAAGGACAGCAGAGGCCACTGGGCACCAGGACCCCACAAAGCCCATTCACACGGAGAACAAAGATCAACAGCACAGTGGAACACCAGGCAAATCCAACAGAATTTCATGAGCACTCATGCCTTATGAGGCCATGAGTACTTCTACTGATTTGCAAACATATTTTGGCACCAATAATGGAGCTGGAATTGGGGCCTTGTGCTCTTGCTTTTTTTTTTTTTTTTTTTTTTTTGCTTAAAGCTAGCACTCTATCACTTGAGTCAAACCTTTCAGCTTTTTGATGGTTAATTGGAGATAAGAACCTCACAGATTTGCCTTCCCAGCCTGAATTCAAACTTTGATCATTAGATCTAACCCTCCTGAGTAGGTAGGATTTCAGGCATGAACCACTGGCACTCAGTGTGTAAACTTATTAATGATCCCACAGGAAAGATGAAGGACGCACATACCCACATGCTCTAGTGAGGCTGTGGTCATTAAAGTACAGACCCTGCCATACAAATATTATACACACACACACACACACACACACACACATACAGTTAAAATCAGTCCTCTATGGATATACGTGTGTGTGTGTGCACGCGCGCGCGAGCACGCAAATGAACGTGTTACTGTGTGTGTCCGTAAGGGGCTGATCAAGGCAGGGAAGGTTGGAGACAATAGTATCCAGTGGGCAGAGTGTTGGATGGAAGTGGAAATTAGGATGTGAGCATTGATTGGTTAGGAGGTGGTTCTGAATGATGGTCAGGGTTGGTCTATGAGCATGTGAGCACGAAGGCACTGCCAGACACTCAAGCATTGGGTAAGTGCTGGGATCAAGACTGTACAAGTCTGAGACTCAGATGGCCTCTTGGGAACATCGCACTAAGGCAGCACAAGCCCAGCATGCAGTAGACAAGAGGGTCAAACTCTACGCTCCACTGTGCACCTGTCCCCCAGACCTCCGGAGAACTCTAAGGACAAGCATGGTCAGGAACCTGCAATCCACGTCAAACAGAAGGACAACGTTCCAAGGTCAGGCCGAGAATGGGGGTGCAGACAGAACAAGGACTATAGTAGAATCTGAAAAGTTTCTAGGCAGGCCTAAGGAATGGGCTCAAGAGAATGGGTTCAAAGAACGTTCTACTATATGTGTTTAGAAAGTTGGGACAAGGAGCCCGCCAATCTCCTGGCTTGACAACAAGCTCTAGGTAGGCCCATATCCCCTCTGTCACTTCAAGGTCATCGCAGGCTGGCCCAAGGATGGCCACTGTCTTCTGTCTCAGCATCAGGACTCAGGTTGTAAGAAGCCCCACCTGTATTGGAGGAGAGAGACACCTCTCAGTGATTTTCAGTGTGGCCCTCGGTGATTTCTCAGACCCCAAGTTCCAACACCATCTCCTGTCCCTCTGCAGAATGAAGGCACAGTTCAGACCAAAATTGGTCAAGGTGGGTAGGTCATGTGAAGTGACATTGCTTCTCACACGGAGCCCATCACTTCCAAGATCCTCCTGGTAGCAGCCGTCCGGTGCCAAGTGCTGCAGGGACACTGCACTAGGTCCTGAAAGAACCTAAAGGCAGAGCCCTGCCTTTTACTAGACAGCCTGAAAGGGTCAGAGTAGCCCCAAACCCCGGGCATTGATAAAAATAAAGATCAGACATGGAAAGCAGCTCTGAGATACTTTCAGTGTAGGCAATGAAGCAAGAAGAGTGCGCTGGACCCCAGAGCACAGGTGCATACCTGCCAGGCTCAGCCCTGCCTCCTCCTCCTCCTGCCGCTCCCCAAGGCCTTCCTCTGGGTCTCCTGCATCATCGTAATCCTCCTGTTCCAGGCATCTGGACACTGAGGACTCTTCTTCTTTCTCCTCCACAGGAGCAGCTTCAATGTCCTCATAGACACCCTCGGGGGGCAGGTGAGCAGACATGCCAGAACCTACAAAGGACACACCAGAACCTTCCACGATAAATAATCCATGAGCTGAGCATACCCCTTCCTAAACCAGGTAGCTTTCCATGCATGCTGAGACACACACTTCCTGCACTGGCCCTCAACCACCCTGGACATACAGGCCTGGTGTCCTGGGTTGAGTCCCTGGACTCATTCTTGGAAGACCCTGTGCTAGAATAACAGTACAAGAATTGGATGGCAGATCTGATGGAGCCCTGGAAGTGGGAAACTTCATCCAGCTTAACCCAGTAGCAGAATGATACCCACACCCAGCTTCTCTGAGTCCACAGAAGACTCATTTGACGAAAATGCAGGTGATGATCAGAACAGGGAGTGGTTTTTTAGCTAAATCTCTCACTTGCTTTCCCACCCTCTGTTCACAAGAATACCCACTCATACCAATCAAGACCACCTACCCATACAGACAGCTCTTCTTTGGCACCACTGAGCACCAAGAATCAGGAAGACCAGGCCCAGGAGGCAGCCAAGTATCAGGCAGGCAATCTCAGGCAGGGTCCAGACCCCAGCAACAGGCGCAAGAGCCCGGGAAGGGGCTGTGGAGGAGGGGGAGATCTCCTGTGTGCCTGGAAAGCCGGGGCATGGTGACCGCAGGGCTGGATGAAGTCATCTTGGAAAGGAGGAATTTACTACTGCCAGTAACTCACAGGGAGAGGTTTGTGGAACAAAACCAACCAGGAAGGAAATCCCAGCTACAAGGCACAGAAGCCACAATATCCATAAGGACAGAACACATCTGCGCTAGACCCCACCGCTGGAAGGGAGAACATCTAAGGCTGTGATGTGAGGCCTTCTGTCCTCTCAGATTGCCACCCATGCAGACACAGGGAAGGAGAGCAAGAATCTGTCACCATCCAAGCGGACAAAACCGTGTCTTGGGGACAAATAGAAAGGTCCCCGGGGCAGCGCTGCTGAGCCCTCTGTCAGCCTTCTGGGACTGAAGGAGGAAGGCGGCAATGACCTGCAGAATCGTGGGATGGGAGGCAGCCGGCTAGGCTTGAGGCCCGCGGCAGCACGGGGCAGGACCCCGGCCTCGGGCTAGTGTGGGAGGCCCTGACTGAGCGGGAGAGGCCAGCGCCAGGGGCCGCCCCTGGGCCCTCACCTGAGCACCGCACGCCCGCGTCCTCCTTGTGGGTGCAGTCTCCGCGCCCCCACGGCTCCGCGGGGCAGCGCCACAGGGACAC